GTTTGCTTCTTCTGATGTCTACTTTACCTTATGCTTAATTGGCCAGAGATCCCTGAACCTTAGGACGTTCTCCTCCACCACCACCACCAACCCTTACTTGATGTATTGTGCGACCACTTGTCGTGATGAATACCCAGAGCTCGGTTTAATGACAGAGCTCCAGCTCCTTATGTTTGACCCGGCCAAGCAAGAGTACTTCATTGATGACAAGACACTTCCCAAAGAGATGGTTAAGTCTAGGCTTGTCGGAAGTTCCCATGGATGGGGAGTTTATCTGAAATCCCCTGATTCCATACTAATCAGCGACTTGTGCATTCCCTCGAGCTCACCACCCAAGATCATCCCTCTGCATCCTCGGAAACCTGTCAATGGTTGTCAGACTGAATTGGTTAGTGGCGTGGCAATGTCTTCTTGTCCTGAAGAACAAGACTGCGTCACGGCTGTCAAGTACACAGGCCGTCTTGTGACTATAGACACACCCGGTCTAGAGAGTAAAGGGAACCTCATCTTCATGTCTCCTCAACTATATGATTATTTCGAACAAGCCAAGTTGATGTATTCCAAGAGAGATCAAAGGTTCTACATGCCAAGTTCTGGAGGCCACCACTTGCGGTCTTACAATGGTCTCCCATCCACCATGCCACGGTTCCATGAGTTACAGTTTCACAACCTTCCTCGGTTTTCGCCATCCGAGCTGCAGCTTTTAGATTCTTGTTACAGGACACATCACCTTGTGGAGTCTCCCTCGGGACAACGTTTCCTAGTGAAATGGTATCATATTTATAGGCTTTCTCTTAGTTTTTTTTTGCTTTCATGTTATAACGCAACACAAAATGTGTTTTTTGGCTTGGCAGGTATGCTCAAAGCTTTCGGCTCAAGACGTTGAATTACGATTGCGGTGGCACAAAGCAGTTCATGGTGTTTAGAGAGGAAGAAGATATGAACATGTGTTACACAGAGGACATTGGAGATCTCTGCATATTCCTCGGCAATAACGAGCCTTTCTGCCTCGAGGCCAGCTCATTCCCTGGTCTACACCCCAACTCCATCTATTTCGTCCACCAAGGCTGTGGTGTTTACGATATCGCCACTAGAACCCCAAATTCCTTCACTCCCAAGTCTCCCCCACCTTTCTCTAAATTAGCTCCTGGCCAAAGTCACTTGACCATCCCTCACTGGGCTCCTCACTGGTTTCCTCCATTGCCTCTCTAGTTTGCTCTGTGCTCTGTGTTTGTTTTGAACAATTTATTCGTTTCAAAGAAGTTTCCTCGTATTACACTCTC